TTTCGTTCGGGGGGGTGGTTGCGGAGAGGTGGAGGATTACGGTTAAGGAGAAGCCGGGCAGCAGCTCTGGGGACGGGCGGGCAGGGTTCTGGAGGGGGCCTCTGTGGAGCGATTCCGAAGTGCTGCCCGCGATAATGGAGCGTCGATGTCGCTGATGCCGATTTCCTTCTGTTTCGCAGTCAGCAGGAGGGAGAAAATGAAAGCAGGCTGCAGCATTGTGGATAAGCCAGAAGGAGGAGGAGGTAAGGAAGTCGAAAGGCTGAGTTGTTCAGCTGTTACGAATTCTTTTCCCAGGATAAAGGAGCTCAGGAGGGATTAATTCCACCTCTCCCAAAAGCTCTCGTACGTGGGCAAAAGCCGTGTGTGAGTGAGGATCGATGAGACGTCTGCTTGATGGGCTGTCGGCGAGTTTTTAAGAGTGCCAGGTTTAATATGCAAATCGATCTGCCCGGCGATGTTTTATCCGTAAGGATTTGGGATCTCGAAGGTGGATCCCCTCCCGTCTGGTACAGCTCGTGCCTGGTTTTGTCTCCGTCGCAGCCTGCCGTAGTGGTGTGGGTGGCGTTGGAAGCGTGATGCGACTTCTCTTCCACGCTGCTGGAGCCTGAAATTGTAGCCACGATGATTTAAGGGAAAAATAAAAAAATAAAAAAAAACCCAAACCCTCGCGTTAGTAGTTGTGCTGGGAAACTATTCTGAGAAAGCCGAACTTGGCAGGCGCTCAGAAACATCTGCAGGCGCGGTTGTAGCTGGAGCGGGCTGCCGGGCTCCAAAATAAGGGGGAGAGGGAGCGCCCTCGCCTACACCCCCCACCCCCCCCCCCAAACATCAGCACACCAAATGCTCAAATCTGGATTAATCGCCTTATTTCAGCCACCTGGAGTCCAAATTGTAGCGATTTCTAAAGCTTTTTGGGCTCCTTTCCACTGTTTCTTGTGCTTTTGTCCCTTCCTTTTTACTGTTTTTTTGTGGTGGTTGGGGATTCTCCAAGGAGAGGGGGCTAAAAGGAGTAAGAAAATGGGCAGCAGAGTACGAGAGCCGTGTTTCTCTGCTTCCACATTGAATGTTTAATAGAATTACAGCCCCCAGCAATGCTCTGTGGTCTCGCTCTAGAGAAAACGCGATAAATACGCAGTAGAGTTTGGCAGTTGTGAGCTCCTGTCGCTGTCTGAGTGACTTTTTTCTTGGCCCTTTCCAAGGTTATCATTTCCCAGAGTGGGCTTACAAAACAGAGTCCAGCCCCGGCTCCCGACAGATCCAGTTATGGCATTTCATCTTGGAGCTGCTGCAGAAGGAGGAGTTTCGCCATGTCATTGCCTGGCAGCAGGGCGAGTACGGGGAGTTTGTCATCAAGGACCCTGACGAAGTGGCCCGGCTGTGGGGCAGAAGAAAATGCAAACCCCAGATGAACTATGACAAGCTGAGCCGCGCTCTCAGGTGAGCAGAAGTCTCTGTGAAGGTGAGGGGCTGGTAAGGAGCCCTCTTTCCATCTTTCCGTGCCTCGTTTGGGTAATTAATTGTAGCTCTTCAGTCCCTGGTTCGGTGGCACTTGCATTTCTGGGAGGTTTGTATCATATTTTGAGTTCTGGGATTGCTCAGGTAGGTCTGACTGTACTTGGGTGGGATTAGAGAGTCAGGGGAGGGAGTCCCTGGTTCACCGTGCTGTCTTCTGCGTCACAGTGTAAATTTGCACCTCTAGTTCAGGTTGTCATTATGAGGATGACTTCCTTCCGGGGAGCTTTTCTCTCTCTTTTCTCAGCTTCCAGTGCCACCGCTGGCTTGAGCAATGAAAGGTGTGGGAGGGAACCAGAGGTGTTGCTCTGTTATCGCACCATCAAGGGTACCGTTTCAGAGAAAGCAACTCCCCTTTCTAACATGATTTGTACTTGTCTCTTTACTGCTGAATCCGTGCGAGGCAGAGGTTCGGTGCCAGTCTCACAGCGAGGACCTGGACTGGGTGTTTCCCGAGCCCCAATGACATGAATTTGGGTATCCTTAAGGACACCCTCTGGGCCACCAGTTGTCCCCTTGTGTGAGACAGGGGCTGAGCCTTCTTTGCTTTGCCATTCACAACTCCAAAGCCCCCAGTATGACTTTGCCCTCTTTTATTTAGACCCTTCCATAGGGTCCAGTTGGGGGTTTTTTTTCTGCTTATCACTGCGTATTTTGAAGTCAGCCCAGTGGAAAACAAGCACGACCCTCTGAAGTATTGCAGCATTTCAAACCTGTCACCTGCAGGAGTGGCTGAGTTCCTGACAGGTTCTGGCATTATCAGTCTGTAACGTGGACTTCGCTGCCTTACACCCTCTGATACCTCCTGGGTGGAGCTGACAAAGACAAACAAGGCAGCAAACACAAGAGTCTCATACTGGAACAGGAAGGAAACAATAAATTCAGTGGCACCGAGGCTGTAATTGGTGCATGGGAGTGGAAAATAGCCTCCACCTGCCAGCGTTGATCATGTCTTGGCATCTTGATGCCGAGTGTGACGGTGGCGGGGCAAGAGCGCTGCGGGTATCAACAGCCGCTTCAGCTGGGGACCTGTGGCTTCTTCCCCCCCTCCTGCTGGCCCCGCTTTGTTTGGTGCGCGCTGTGGCAAAGGGCAGCGTGTGTTAATCTACCTCCTAAGCACAGAGAACGGTGGCAATGATCCGCATGTAACACCTTTGTTTGTACACCAGGCTGAGGACAAACAGTGGTGGTGTAAGTGGGGAGGAGGCTGCGGTGGGGATTATACCCTCCGTCTCCGTGGCTGAGTTCTTTTGCCTTCGTTTGGTGCCGTGAAGGTGAGGAGGGGAGGCTGATGGGCGGTCAGGGCTGGCCCCAAATGCCTGCCCTCCGCAGCCCTCATCAACGCCAACCGCGAAGGCGACAGGGGGGCTTTTAATCCGAAGGTGCAAACGGGTGAACAGAAGGGAATCAGTTCGCTTATGGGTGTGAGAGCGGCAGAAACCAGCTCTCCCGATTTCCAGCCTTGTGGCCTGGACGCTGTTACAATATCCCAGGCCTTGAAAATTGCAGAAATAAAAATAAAATTTAAAAAAACAAAACAAAACAACCAACCAAAACCAACAAATCTGAGGCTATCTGGGTAATTCGGTCCGTTTTTGCTCAGCTCCGGTGTTGCACTGAGTTTTGTTCTGCCCCAGCCCGGGCACACGTTTCCGCTCTTTAAAGTTCTGTGTCTCAGCACAAGTTCACCTGAATTTTCTGCTCCCGTTCTGGGACATTCCCCCGGCAGTCAGAGCCCCACCGTGCGTGTTTCGGTGGCTGTGGGTTGTTTGTGTGGCTTGGCATAGAGAGGTAGTGCCAGTGCCGTGTGGGATGCTTGTATGAGACCCCATGGCATCGGTCCCAGTTTGGACAGGGGTGAGAACAGCACGTACAGGCTTGGCCTGTTGTTCAGCGTTCACTTCCCTTCAGGATCTCACCTTTTCCCGCACGTTCTAAGGAACATATTGACCTGTAAAATGGTTTGAAACCTACTACTGAAGAATGTGTTGTAAAAGGAGTGGGTGTCGTTTGGAAACTTTCCAATCGACTAATATTTTCTTGTACAACACAAATTCTCGGGGTGAATTCATTTTTATAGATACGTCAGAGGTGGATGTTGATGGCGCTAAAAGAAACGAGACCTTTAACCAGGTCACCGCGTGCTTTGATCAATCTCTTTAACTTTCGTTAACAGATACTATTACAACAAGAGGATCCTCCACAAGACAAAAGGCAAAAGGTTTACCTACAAGTTCAACTTCAACAAGCTGGTGATGCCCAACTACCCATTCATTAACATTCGGCCTAACGGTGAGTGGGGGGCGGTCGGGGCTGCATGTTTTTAACTGTCCCCCCACTCCCGGCGTGCGGAATGGGGCCGGGACTGACCCCGCAGCCTCTGCAGATCCTCTATCAGTCATCTCCTACACTTGAAAGCCCGCCGGGGCAATCAGCGCTGCTGCGGTGGGAATGTCTGGACGCTGATAAAGCCTTATCTTCCCTCGGGTTTGTCACAGACGCAGCTGCGGTTGTCTTCGGGGGCAGGCTGGAGGCATTTTGGTTTCCTATTTGAGCTGGCTTGTTGGACTGTGCCACGGCTTGGCTTGGCTTGGCTTTGCTTTGCTGGCTGGGCGGGGGGGGCGGGTGTCCTTGGGATAAGAGGGTTTCAGTTGTGTTGCAGGACCCTTGCCTCACTCACATGCTTTGTAACGTAACTTTATGGTGCCATATAAATGTGACCCTTCTTGACAAGGAGCTTAGAGGTGCATGGCGAGGCGTGCGTGTGAGCGCTATCAGAAACTTCGCAGCTTAACAGCAGTTTGCTCTCCTCCCCGCTTCTGCAAAGGCCCCTTCTTTGCTTCAGTTCTGCTCCTTTTACATCAAAAGGAACTTTTCGTAACCAACTTCTATCTAGAGTTCAGAGGAACCTAATAACGAGTGCAGAGCAGTTTCCAGAAAAGAGTAGTCACTCCCCTGAGTGACCGAAATCGCAGGTAGTTCTCAATTCTCCCTGCGGCAGACGTTCAGGATAGCGAAAAGGAGTTTAGGAATGGAGCATAGTTGTTCCTTTCTCATCCTAAAAGGCCTTTGAGTCTTTTGCCAGGAGCTGGAGTTCAGTCTGGGTTTGTCCCGGACTCAGCAGTAGTGCTGTGGTTTCTCTGGAAGAGGGTCCTTTGTTTGCACGATCCTTTTTGGTGGAGTTGAGTCCCCCCCATAGCTAGATTTCTGCAGCTGGGGTGATTGCCTCCGTAACTGCACAGCCGCCACGCAACCAGGGAAATTAGTGGCCGTCAAGTCCATCAGAAGAAAAAAAAAAAAAAAAAAACAACAAAAAACAAACCCCAAAACCCTTCTGGAAGTCATTACAGCGAGGCCCGAGACTGCAAGCTCTCCGCAGCGAAGAAAGCGTGAGCGCAGAGGCGCCTGAACCAGCCTTTCTCACAGCGCCGTGCGCTTAGTTCTCACCTCTTGAAGAGTGCCCCAGGGGAAGCCTTGAAGATTCGTCTAGCAGGGAGAGAGCAGGGGAAAGTGGGGATTGAGTGTTGACTCTGAAACCCCGGCGGCTGAGAAAAACAGGTTACGTGTGGGCAAGAGTGGATTTCTCATCGGTGCTCGCGTAGCCTGTGCCTACGTACGGCGGTGACTGCTCGTTGATCTTGGCGCTTGGAAGCGACCTCCATCCCTCCCCGCCCCTGGGGAGTCCCAGTCCGGGTGCGAGCACCACTGTGATTTCAAGGCATCGTCTCCTAAGCAAACACTAACCCCAAGATGGGGTTGGGAGAATAGAAAAATAATCATCGAGGCGTTTTGCTTCACCTGTGTGGGACACGCTTGCCTTTATGGCAGCGGGGAGAAGGGAATATATTCTCCAGGAGTCCTTAGCCAAAGCACGGGGGTGTAAGATGTAGTACGAAGCTGCACTGCAAATCTATAATTACTTGCAGCAACGAGTCTGGGCAGTTCCAGCTCAATATTGCTCACTGCTGTTCCTTTTCCCTGTTTGCAGCCACTCCCTCCTATCTCTGGGGCATGCATTTAAAAAAAGAAGTTTGGAGAACTGGAATGCACTTGTCTAATTACAACCTGTTTTCTTTCCTTCTGGCTGGGATGGGGGTTGGGATATCAAACCTGTTTGGGGCACTTGGAATCAGGTTTCTTCTCTCGGCTCTCCCTCGCGCAGTTTGGAAGGGAAGGGAGAATCAACGGGCGCGGTGTGGAGGTGAGAAAGTAGGTGGAAGAATTCGCCTCAATATGGCTCGTTGTGGGACGAGTAAGTCATAGACAGGCGGCTCCGTAGGCACGGCGGTGGAAGAGGAGCCAGCGAGTGCTGGCAGCGGTACCGTCAGAAACGTCAGAGAGAAGACACGTTTTCCCAGAAAAGCACAAATCAGTGACTTTCAGTCAGCCCCGAGAGCTTGAGGTTTACCAGCAGCACTTCTGCCGGTGGCGTTGGAGCGCGATTGCTTAACCCTGCCGCTAACGCACCGGCGTCGAGACGTTTTCTGGTTAAACCAGAGCAAGGAGGTCAGGGGAGGGCGTCCGAAAGTGGAAGTGATTTCAGTGGCACTGGAGGTTCACGAAACCTCAGCCGGGGCGGAGAGAGGAGAAGATTCATCCCCGGCAGTGGCGAGGTTTTGAGGTGGGCAGAGGAGGCTGGAGCTGTGCAGGGGAAGGGAGCAGATGGGAAAGGCGCCTCCCATCTAATCGTCTGCTCTGTTGTTGATAGCGCGTGGTATTTTTGTGTTGCTCTTCCAAACGCCTGCGGGTGCAGCCCGAAAAGCAGCTCTTTACCTGTGATTTAACTCCCTCGGCAACTGTGCTCTTACCTCTCCCGTACTCTCTTTTTCCCCCCCTCCCTGTCCCAGGTGTCGTGCCGCAGAGCGCTCCTCCTGTCCCCACGGCTTCGTCCCGCTTCCACTTCCCACCGCTGGACAGCCACTCTCCCACCGAAGATGCCCAACCCAGTCGGTTCTCCGGTGGTTCTCTGGTCCCATCCAACCCAGAAACGTTGGGTGACGGCAGCGAGAGGAAGCCAGACATGCCGGAACTGGAGGACGGCTCCTCGGATTGGCGCCGCGGAGTGGATCTTATGGCCTCACGCAACGCCGTGGGCGCCGGTAGCGTCAACCACCAGAAACGCAAACCCGATATTATGCTCCCGCTCTTCACCAGGCCTGGGATCTACCCGGATCCTCACAGCCCCTTTGCCGTGTCCCCTCTGCCGGGGCGCGGTGGGGTCCTCAACGTCCCCATCTCTCCTGCCTTGTCCCTGACTCCCACCCTTTTCTCCTACAGCCCCTCGCCGGGCCTCAGCCCCTTCACAGGCAGCAGCTGCTTTTCTTTTAACCCCGAGGAAATGAAACACTACCTGCATTCGCAAGCTTGCTCCGTCTTCAACTACCACCTGAGTCCGCGGACTTTCCCCCGCTATCCGCTCATGGTGCCACCACTACAGTGCCAAATGCCCCTGGAGGAGCAGCCCCAGTTTCCCATCAAGCTCCAACCTCCACCCGTGGGGCGTAAAAACAGAGAGAGACTGGAAAGCGCTGAGGAGCCGGCGGCCCCCCAGTTAGCTACTCCTCCTCCTCCCAGGGTGAAGGTCGAACCCGCGATGGACAAAGAGGCAGAGTCCGAAGAGCCGCCGGCGAAAGGGAAAGATAAAAATGAGAGAGAGGAAGGCTGCGGCGTTGCAGCCAGCCTGGAAGAGGAGAAAGGGCCTGTGTTTGCCAGACCAGCTGCACTGTGGTGGCACCCAGCCCCACCGGCAGCCAGCCAGGCCGGTTTCTCGGCTGAGGAATCGCCAGAGCAAGGGGAGAGCAGCGGGGAGAAATCATCCCGAGAGGCCGCCGGAGAATCAGGAGCGCAAGAGAAGAGAGAAGATGCCCTCATGCCTCCGAAACTGCGTCTCAAGCGTCGTTGGAACGGCGACCGGCAAGCTGACCTCCCCGAGGAACGCCACAACGGCCGTGTCCACTGGAACGGGGCGCTGGGCAGCCCGCACCTCACGGCGGCTCCCAAGGCTGTGACGGCCACCGCTGCCTCCGACACTTAAGCCCGGGGGAGAGCCTCACGGTCCGTCTGTGCTGAAAAACATCCGTGTATTTATGTAGCAAGGTTGCAGAGCGTGGGGGGCGGGCGGGGGGCTGGGGCTAGCCTGGTTTTGGTAATTCTAGAAACTAGGGGTTTTGTGTTCTTTGTTTTCGTTGTTGAATTGCAGGTGAGACGCGGTTGTCTCGCTCCGATTAGGAGAGGCGAGGGAAGCCGGCCGCCCTCGCGCGCAAGCTTCATGCCTTGCACGAACTCCAGCGGGGTTGAGGCCTCCACCGGGACGGAGGAACTCCAGACACGGTCCATTTTATATACGCTCTAGAAGCAGGAATCGCCGAATTCATCTAGTTCCCCGTTACTATGATTTTTTGATTTTTTTTTTTTTTTTTTTGCTTTGGAAGGGCGAAATTCTAGCAAGAGCAGCAACCCTCATGACAGGCCATTAAAATGTACATGGATTGGTTCAAATCTGAGATTTGATACACAGTCTCTTCTTCTCAGCTCAGATTGAGTCACCTTTTAAGTCAGATTTTCTCGTGTTGATATTAGTCATTCATGGGCTGTCCATAGAATAAAGTAACTGTATGCTTTCTGCATACATTAAATTTCATTGGCCCCTGACTTCAACCTTCTTTGTTGTAGAATGCGGTTTCTTTTTATCTCAGGGGTAGTACCTATGGCTTATTTTGTTGGGTTTTATTTTGTATTTGACTCCTAAGGGATAAATAATACAAAATGCAGCAACAGAAGATTTTTGCCTAATAGGATATTTATATTTCCATTGTTTTTCTCTAAATCTTTCAGGGAAGGGAGTGGGGTGGGAAAAAAAAAAAAATAACCTAATGCCTTTAATAGACGCATTAAAATGTACCCTAGGTTTCCCCCCCCCCAATTGTATGGGTGGAGTTGGGAGTGATTGGAAGATTAACGCTGAAATGATTGTGGTGAGTTCATAGAGAAGGAATGACAGGAGCTTTGTTCGATCTTCTTGCCTTTGTTTGGTTCCCCTATCACTTTTGACTCATGCCTTAACTACGTGTACACTTTATGCGAGCAGGGTCTGTCGCCGACGGGAGCAGCCTGGGCGAGAGCCGGCTGCCTCCGGCCCAGTTTGGCTTTTCCCGGCGGTTTTGCATTTTGCCTGATGCCGGAGAAGCGACGGAGAATGCCCGCACAGTGGTGGCGGGAGCGGAGGCTGTCTCCGTGGGCTGCGCCGTGTAAATCTCGCTGTGTTTTTTGCTATAAATCTGCTATTTCCCTACGCGGCTGCGTTTCTCGTTAGGCTGATTAACTTAGGCTCCGGATTAACGGCCAGTACCGCGCTTCGGTTCCCGTTGCGATGGGACGAATCCCTCCCGATTCCTTGAAAGGAACTTGGAAAGGACCGATCTTGGCGAGGTTGGAGCCGGAGCTCCGGCGCGTTATTCCCGCCGACGGGGGCGAGCGGCGTGTACGGGCAGATCGCGTCGGTGGAGGACTCGGGTGCCTGTTCGGAGGAGGGGAGCGCGTGGGAGCACAAGAAGATTTTTTGCAAAATGTCTTTTTTGGTTTGGTTTTTTTTTTTTTTTTTTAGGCAGGTG